TCAGTCGAGTGTTTGAAAGAAATCCTTCTGTGAGATGATGCGGCTTTTTACACTGAATAAGGCACGCAACATATTTCATCGTATTCTAAGCAGTGATAAAGACATTGCATTATAAATATACTTTATTTTAATTAAAATTATAATAACTCGTGTGTTCATTAGTCACGTTGAATCAATTAAATCTTCTGTTTATCCAGCTACCGCTATTGGGATTTCCTGGGTTTCCAGGCGTGTTTTGAAGTTTCAGTGCGAGAGCGCCCTCTGGCCTTTGTATGGAGATTTACTGCTGATCACAGAACCATGCATTACTGAAAAATATGCATGACAATCGCAGTTTCTGTCGAATCGATTCCATTTCGATTTATCGTGCAGCCCTAGGAAACACAGCACACTTCTTGAAAAAATGTGGAAGATGTAGTAGTAGCGCCAAAGCCAACTATCTCTGGTAGCATCTAGCAAGCCACAGCTGTTAGTTTTACACATTCACGATGTACCACAATTATGCATGATCACTGGCTAAGGGTTCTGTCGCCGAAAATAACACCATAAATGAAAACGGCTGTGGAGGTGAACACGACAAATCCCATGATTCCAGCTACATCTTTGTTATCGTTTTGAATACATGATCTCTAGGAGTGAAACTTACATATTGTGCCTTGAAGTTAATTTATAATGCTGTCTGTACCTGAGTGTGTTTATGTTTGTGATGTGTCTGAAGAGAAGCCGTGTTCCTCTGACAGAGACAGCTTTAGGTTTTAGAGTGAGGTCGAGTCTGTCAGAAGAGAAACGTAAGAAACTCCCCACAGACCTGCAGGTTTTGCTGGGTAAATGACTTTCCAAGCTGAGGGAGAAGCCAACAGCCTCAAACAGTGAAGTCACCAGCTCTGAATTCTCTCTTAACTGGACTGCTTTAACTAGAGTTAACAAACACTTCTCAGAACACCTGAAAAACACAATAAATACTTGATTACAATCACTACATAACATGACAATACATTGCATTTAATGAGCAAATTCTAAAAGACTCATTAAGAACTTAAACATGTTCAAATTTATAACAAAAACTTTGTGGCCTGTATTATAATACACAACAAGGCAAGACAAGGCAAGGCAGGGCAGAGACCAAAACATGCAGGGAGAACCCACGGGTGCATTAGATGACAATCAGACACAGAACAGAGAACAGAAGGACACAAACGAGAAGGATAATGAGGGAGGACGGGTGAGGTACCGCTTATAAGTTCCATCGTTTGGTGAAAATCTGTCAGTAAAGTATCAACACGCATCTTCTTGCCTTTGATCCAAATTGATTTATTCAGGTTACCAAACATCCAACAAGCACAAAACAAAAAGACACAGTACAAAAACCATGTGCTTCCACAGCTGATCACCAAGGAAGTTATGCCCCCTATAGGCTTAAATACTATATTTTCTAACCATCACCATTTCTTAAAGAGACACAATGTTAAATATTAACCACATAGTCCAGAAACATAATATTGAAAACAAAATTATAAAATAAACACAAAAAAATATACTATTATGAAACATAAAATAAGCAAATAGGGTTTGAACATTATGTGGCCTATACACTCCCGGCCTCTAATTGTATTCTGTAAGAAGAAACAATTATAACAATAAGACAATCATCATTTAATATCCATATTCTATAGCAGAGCAATTATTATTCTTGATGAATGATATCTGGGATTTCAAGCAACAGCTGATTAGATCTTTGTGATGGGTCGATCAAGCTCGCTTGTTTTTGTCTTAACTTGAACTCTGCGAACGAGTCCATGTTCATCTTGCATCATTTTGGTAACTCTTCCCATTACCCATTAATTTCTGGGTGCTGATTCATCTACAATTAAGGCAATATCTCCAGGCTTATAATTTCAGGATACTTTCATCCATTTTTGACGCCTTTGAAGCTCTGGTAAATATTCTCTTATCCATCGCTTCCAAAAGAGGTCAGCCATGTATTGCACCTGTTTCCATCTTTTTCGTGCATAGAGGTCTTCCTTTTGGAAGAGTCTAGGGGGCAAAGCAGGTTTTACCTTCATAAGCAGCAGGTGGTTAGGTGTGAGGGCTTCTAAATCATTCAGGTCATTGGAGGGGGTAGTTATTGGTCTGCTATTAAAGATGGCTCCCACTTCGCAGAGAAATGTCTGAAGACCCTCCTCATCCAGGTTCTGAACTCTCAGGGTGCTTTCACACCTGGCCTGTTGTTTCGGAACCTGGCGCGTTTCCCCCCTTAGCTTGGTTCGTTTGGCCATATGTGAACACAGCAATCATGCTCGGATCCATGCCAAAACAATCGGTCCGAGAGCCCTGAATGAGGTGGTCTTGGCTCAACTGAAAACGAACTCTGGAGCGGTTCGGTTGTAGTGAGAAAGCAATCCGATCCAACAGACCAACGAACCAGGCTATATCACAATGTATAATGGATAATTACGTAAGTTCTGTGAAAAGCATTAGCTTTGTTGTTTTGCTAATACTTCAAAATGAACCTGTGAACGTCTGTGGGTGAGCACGTCTTCGCCATTCAAAATAAAAAAGCACACCTTTTCATTTTATAATGCCGTCTTATTGCTCTTCTTCCTAGTAGGTGCAAACGGGATATATCGCCCTCCGAAGGGCACTTCGGAGTGAAAACAATCATGGCCGCCACATTGAAGGGTCGTTCCAAACCGAAGTTTTCAAAACTGGCCACTTCAAAGGGCCCTTCTGAATGAAGGATTTCGGAGGGTACAACTGATGGACACTTCTGGCTCCCATGATCCTTTGCATGATGACGGCGCCTCCGCATGGGCACGTGATGATGACGCAGAAGGGCACTTCAAGAAACAGTTGTTTGGTCCCCTACACCCTTCAAAGCTCTCACTCCGGAGGGTAAACCCTTTGAAGGTGTGACCGAGTTAATAAGGATGGTGTGTTGGGTGGGGCGCATGTACAGTATTTATTTTGCCTTATAAATAGCGCAAAGAGTAGTGGCTTGCGTAACAACTTCATGTTTTGACTTCCGCTATCCCCTTCCGGTGTCATGATTCTGGAAACCCCATAGTGAGGTATGAGCGTGGCCCTTGCTTTGCTGTAAGTTTGTATAAAGATATTTGTTTTTTATATTGTTTATTTTGGTGTTAAAGGGATAGTTCACCCAAAAATGAAAATTTTATGTTTATCTGCTTACCCCCAGGGCATCCAACATGTAGGTGACTTTGTTTCTTCAGTAGAACACAAATGGAGATTTTTAAGTCAAACTGTTGCAGTCTGTCAGTCATATAATGTAAGTAAATGGGAATCACGGCTTTGAGTGATTTTTAAAGCTGTTAATTAATGATTCGTTTATCAGTGCACGTGTTGTGTGTGTGGGATCTGTGGCCTTGTGATTCTCCCCTTTCCTCCAGCAGGTTTGGTAACCATACATTTTAAGTTAGTGGGTTATGATTTTAATATTTGGCCTAAAGTCCAGACCTTTTAAAGTTGTGATTCCCTCTTTTTACACTATATTAAAGTTGATCATCCATCTAAACAATACCTACTGCTTGTTATTAAAAGTGTTAAACTTAAAGGCCACGTCTCTGTTCTTCCTTCATTATGGGCTACTGAACTTGTGTTGCTGTGTTCAGTTATTTCTGTGGGTATAAAACCCAGACAGCGTAGTCGGAATCTAGTGCAATCGCTGAGTAGCGCTCGGTTACAAAGGGATGAGCCCTTCTGAATAAAACGCAGGGATAGTGCCAGTCTTCTAACGTGACCCCCCACCCCCCGTTTTATTTCTCAGCCCCCCAGCTCAAAATACATTCCCGCGACTTTGGCCTGAGGACTCGAAAGCCATGCTTAAAGACAAGAAAAGGCCAACCAGAGTAAGAACCTCTCACCTCAGCTGTGAGATGTGTTGCAGACACTGAAGGAAACTCATGACTTCACTCTCTTCCTCTAAACATCCTCTCAGATATACTATTTTCTTCTCTGTCTGGAGCTTCAGCACTTCCAGAAGGACGGAGATCCTTCTCTGTGAGAGATCTATGAACCAGACATCAGGTGTTGAATGGAAAACGGGCAGTACTTCTGGAATTAAACTCCTGTTTATCTCATAGTTCTCCACAAGTGAGTAAAGATCCAGCAGAAAATCACTCTGATTAATGTTAGTCAGTCCATACAGAAAAGATCTGCTGCAGACTGATGCTAACAGTTTCGGCATCTGCTCTCCTGTCTGTTTCTCAATCTCTGCTGCTTTAATGAAGAGACTGCTTTCAACACTTTCACTGAATCTGTAACAAAACGGAAATGAGAAATGTGAACAAATAGAGATACAAGAGAACTCAATATGTGACTTAAAAAATGCCAATTAATAACAAACATTGTAGGGGTGCTCATTTCGGTTAATTTTCCTGACCGACAACCGCTGCTCGTTTTCCAAACATTTACCATTAACTGATACAATTAGAATAATAAATTAATAGAATGGACATGGACAAGTATATGAGATGATACATTAAAAATACAAACAAATATGCGAGGGATAATCAACGGTTTGCCGTGCATTAAAAAAGTTAAAATACACGACGCGGAAGAACCACCCGACGCGAAGCTACTTTTCTGAACAGAATACAAAAATAATCTTACATAAGTATTATTATTATTAAAATAACATTTACAAACAATTATCATGCAATAGCAATCCTTTCGAGTATAAAATTAAACTACAAATTAAGGCAGTTGAACGCCATGTCGGTGCAAATAATTAGAGCAGTCATTCTTTGATAGCCCACAAGATGGCGCAATTACTACACTAAACGCGACTGAAGCACATTTTATGATATGGCAGACAGCGAGTCATTAGCCGTGAAATAACTCAATATAACAATAACATATGCCACGGTAAATACTTAAGATCAGCTATAATGAGCATGAGTTCGTGTTCTGCGTGTCTGCTCAGCGCTGCTGTCCTGCTCTGCGCTGCGCTACTTCTTCTTCTTCGAATTTATTGGCGGGTTGCAAAACAACTGGAAAGGTGCATACCGCCACCTACTGTACTGGAGTGTGACGAAGATGGAACACAAAGAAGATTTCTATATTCTGTTCTTTAGACCGCTATTTCTCAAGAACTTCATTAATGCTGTAATTATTTTATTAAATTCTACTCCTGCCTTTAAAATATTATATAAGGTAAATTCCAAAAATACCCAAAGCTTGCATATCTCTTATAAGTTCAGTTATTTCCTGTTCATATTTTTTTTTTACATCTAATCAAAACATGCTCAACCGTTTCTATTTCCTAGACATTACATAAACCAGAATTATGTTTGCCGATTATATGAAGTGCTGCATTAAGATTAGTAGGCCTATGATCTATTTTTAATCTTGTATATATAACAAAGTCCTTCCTATTTATATAATGATTAATTTGACCTGGTTTTATGTTACTTTGTATTCTATAAAAATGTCTTCCTTTTTTACATGAGTTCCAGCAGTTCTGCCATTTAAGCCGGGCTCACGCTACAGGAGTTTTAAAATCCTAACCGATTATGAAATCTGGTTGCAACACACACATAAGGAGAATCTTTGCAGATTATCTTCCCTCAAATCTTAAACATGCACACACTACAAGATTTTAACATTGTGGCGCATCACACACTACAAGATATTATTAAGATTATCATGCCAGAGGGAGCGCCTCATGTGATCTCATGCAGCAGATCGTCATTGATATTTCAGGGATGTTTACATATGTTAGCTAGCGTGCTAGCTGCTTTCTACACTCACCGGGTACATTCAAAACTGAGGCGATTTCACTCCAGCGCTTCTCTTTCTCCTTACGGCTGTGATACGTTTTCGACACATTATACAGACAGTCGTGTTACTATAAAACGCCAAGAAGCAGTTTCCTCCATCTCCACTATCTAACGGGGCCGTACAGCAGCTGTTTTGTGGTCGCACAAAATTTGTGAAAGTACTGACATAATCATATAGCCGTCATCATCCCGATTTCAATCCTAAATATCAAACATGTTTGATATGATCGGGGTGGCCCCGATTTGTGTGCGAGCAGATCGGGAGGTGCAAGATTCGATCTTTGAATGCCTCACATTACCAGATAATCGGCGCCGAACATCGGGAGTGATCAAGGGGTTCGACAAGATTTTTGCTCCGATTCTCGGGAGGGGGAAATCGGGGCTAAATCGGGCTAAAAATCCTGTAGTGTGAGCCAGGCTTAAAGCTCAAGACTGTATTGGTTTCTCTTTTGCTGTAGTAAATCCTGTCTATTTCACACTGTCTAAGGTATTGATTGCCTCATACTGGGACAGGCGGGAACAGTCATCTCAAATAGGGAGTCCCAGATCCCAGGATTTTTCTGCAGGAATGTGGGCTGGAGCCTGGGCAATACCCATAGCGGATCATTTGGTCTTGGTAATTGGGACTCAGCCAGCCTTCCTGGCCTATAATGCATGAGAGAGCCATCTGCCCTGTCAATCAAAGAGGAATGGAGGATGACTCAGAGAAGATGCCTGTGTTAATAGCATTATAAACAGGACATCATGCATTATTATTAGTTTGTTATATAAAAAAGTGGCAAAAGATCTGACTGTCTAGATACACTTACTCCTACAAACTTGCTTAATCACAGACTTTCCTTCTGCCCTGCTTAAAGTGCCTGCTACGCTAATATTATCCATTTTAATTGCTTCTTTAGCCATTATGTCTGCTGTTTCAATCCCTCGTATCCCTACATGTGCTGGTGTCCATAAAAACTGCACTACACTTCCCATTTGACTTATACTGCTAGAGATATTGATCATTTTATATAGAATATCTTTCCTACACGACTGTAAAATTTTCAAGCTTGAAAGTGATGCCATTGAATCTGAACAAATTAAAGCTTCCTGAGTTTGCCATCTCCCCTCAAACCATTCAAGTGCCATCTGAATGGTGACTAATTCTGCCGTATATACTGATTGTCACGAATCCGGTCCATGAACTTTCATCTGTTAGCCATCAGAGGTCACCCTTTCCTATTGCATTGACTCTTGCACTACACTCTGTTGCACATCACCCCGGACTACATTTCCCATCATGCATTGCACTGATTGCACTCAGCACGGATTGCACACAGCTGTACACTGATTGCACCCAGCTGTTTCATATCACTCCCTCACTATTTAACACTCACTCTGATCCCTTGCCTCGGTCGAGTATTGTTCAGCGATTATCACTCCCCTAGCGATAGCTACACTACAGAGCCCTCAGTCATTTCCCAGCCTTAGCCTTAGCCTTAGCCGTTTTCTCAGTTTCTGATCTTCGCCTGGTTTCCTGGATTTCTCCCTTAGTCTTGCCCCTTCTGATTCTGTCTGCAGTTCATCGACCCACGCTAGCCCTAGGATTATTCTTGTGTTTTGCCCGCCATATACCTATCTGCCTCTGTTTGACCCTGCCTGCTTTATGACCACGTCTCTGTCTTCTCCACAATAAAAGCTTTGCGAATGGATCCACACGTCTCACGTCTCGTCAGCTCCGTAACAATAGGGTTATAGTAGTGATTCTCAACTGGGAGGCAGGGTCCACTAGGACTTTCAAGAGGGCCTTAAGATGATTTAAAATGGCAAATCTAGCATGAAACAACTTAAAATAAAGATCTTTTTTAAATTTAGTTCACTGTTTTATTATTTTATTATCTTATGTTTATTTATTTTAAATTTGAAAAAACTTTAAAACATTTTGTGTAGAATTTGTGAGTAAAAACATTCTTTAAAATCCTTATCCTTTATCCAGTAAATCACAAACAAGTCATTGAGCCTTCAAATGTTGTTTTGTTTAAAAAAAAA